GAGCTTCATTGATAAATTATAGATGGATCTAAGCATGTTTCAGATCATCCACCATCAAGTTAGGTCATGAAAGTCACAGAAACATTCTAATACATCAAACGTCTTGCTTCAACAAAGACTCAATCTATATAGACATCTCAATGATATGGCAACAGAAACTTACTGAAGACACCATGTGGGTCATCAGACTTGTCTATGGTGACTAGTGTTTGGGTGATGTTTCCCAGCACAGCTCCTCCAGTCAGTCCTGTTGGCAGCAGTTCAACAGTAAACATCTCCTGCAGCTCAGGGTCAAGGTCATCCACGATTTCTATGGGAACCATCTTGGTGACCTCTCCATCAGACAGGATGATGTCTGAGGCAATGATGTTGTAGTCATCAGGCCTGGCAGTGCCTGGGGTGGTCCTGAACCTGACAGATACCTGCAAGGGGAGAATACAGTTTGATACTCTGTGTTGTAAACAACGAAGGCTCTCTATAATTCTTATCTATGGATTTTTTAAATTAAAATCTAACATGTATGAGGACTGCTCATGCAGCAACACATGATGACTAATATTACTGTAACAAATATGACAGGATTAGGTATAGAAAAGCCAATACATATTTAGAGGTTGAATCCAGTCTGAAGAATCCAAACTTTTTTTGCTCTAATCATTTATTTATGTCTTGCCATCAAGTGGCCAGCAAAAGGTGCAAATATCTTCCTTACCCTTCCAAATGCACCTGCACTTCTTGTCACATTAAGGAAAGGTCCAGTGACATCCTCATCAACCATGACACTGCTGGCTGACAGTTGCAGGATGCCGTTGGCATTGTCATTCTGCTGGATAATGACTTCTCCAATTGCCTCACCTAACATGCCAACTCTGGGGGAACCTGGCACTGCAATTTTAAAAGAGCCAACATTACCACCAGTACAACAGATTCTGTTGCATGCCAGACTTATACCCAAAAGATGAAGCAAACAAACCTATTATAACAGCATGATTTTACCCAACATTTTGCAAACCATCACCCTTTAGTAGTGAGTGTGCGAATACTGACCTGGCCTTTGCTGGCCTCCACTTGTCAGTTCTGCCCTGAGTAACTGCACAAACACAGACTCATCTCCCTCAGGGATGTTGTCATCAAAGATGTTGATGTGAACTTCTGTTGAGTTGGTCCCCGAAGGAAAGTCAACATATGACTCTTGGTACTGGAAATCTTCTGCTTCTGTTGCACGGCTGAAAGTTTCATGAAATAATTGTTAACAATTAGCTTAATTTACAAACTCTAGAAACAATTGGTCTCTCCCTATCCATTAACTCAGTAAACACAAAGTCAGTTCACAGGGACTCAATACACATAGTTGAACCACAAATGGGTTTTTTAAAGACCTTATAGGATACAACACCACAGTAAATTCTAGCTTAACAGATCAACCAAACCATCATCCACTCTTCAATCATGAGTAACATACAACTGATAACTTACCCAGTTACCACAGGGAGCCCTGGAGGATTGTCCCCATTCCTAAGTGTTCTGTAGAACACCCGTACATCTCCCATCTGTCCTCCATCCCGAACAACCTGGCACACATACCATTCCATTAGAAGGGCACAGTCACAAACAAAGTCAACAGAGGATCTCTATTTTTAAAAAAGCACAAAATCTTATATTGCATAAATCTACAAATCTTTACTATTTCCATACCATCAGAGTAACCGAAGTGTTTCCTTCCTCTACATACACAGGCTGTGAGGTTGGATCAAACAGGAAAACACCGTAGGGGTCATCGTTGGCCAGGATGGTGACAACTGCCGCCTGCTTCAAGGAGTCCCCAGGTCGGCCAGCAGAAAAGTTGACCAGACGAACTACAAATTCCTCATCCAGCTCAGGTTCCTGTAAATATTTTTGGAATGACAATAAAATGTTAAATTATCTATTGAAAAACATATTATAAATAACACCGAGCAGATTAAATTTGGACTGAGCAGAGCAGTTTGGACTAGTGGCTCTAGCCATTTACTACTAAAACCTACTCATCTGATATTTGGTGGAAATATTCTCTGTTACACAATGGATCATAACACCCCCCCAGTGAGCGTCTTCACGCTTCATCGAAAATAAAAAAATTCCGAGATAAATTTCGAAAAATTTTTTTATCCCGGAATTTTTTACTCAAGAAAGGAAAATATCCCGAGACTTTTTTAAAAAGTCCCGGGATTTAAAAAAAAAATCTCGAAATAAAAAAGAAAATCTCGATATTTATCCCGAGATGTTTTGGTAGGTACATTTTGTAGGCAGGATCTCCATAGTTTACTTTAACTCCTATCAGTTCCTAACTTCAGAGAAAACAGTAAGAATTAAACTCCATCAGACTTATCATCAGGTCTTGGACACTGTGAGAGTTAATCACAAAAATGTATACTATCCCAGGCTGAGGAGAACTAACAAGCTTCAGGTCCGACTCACAGTATCTGAGTTGATAGTGAGATTGAAGACAGCAGACAACTGTCCAGGTGGTATATAGACAGTCCCGCTGTTATCAGCAAGGTCCAGGTCTGGGTCTGACTCCACCTCCCAGTACACTGTCACTCCACCAAGGGCATCTCCTGTACGGACAACCTAGTGGGCACAGATTCATGTAAAATAAACATGAGACAATCATTTGAGAAGAATATCAAATAAATCCATGTTCATACAATCAGAAAGTTACCAACTAAAGCAGTGGCAAACTATTGGCAATATTGTGAACATTTCAATATGAGGAAGTCCAATTGCTGATTTTGGAAAGTGCAGTATATTTGGTCATACCACTTCGAACAGGAACAATAGTATACAAATCAATTCATACCTCCAGAGAGACAACTGAAGCTCCTCCATCAGCCTCATTGGCCGTCATCACAAGTGAGTCATCAGCAAACTGGACAGTACCGTATGCACCATCAGATGCCTCAATAACCACTGTCATGAACCTTCCTGTGTCCAATACAGCCCCTGTTGGTAGAAATTTAAAGAAAAATGTGTTAGCTTCATGAGAAGGAAAAACAATGTACAAGGTTAAGTTCAAGAAAGTCAGTATGAAGAGAGATCTTCAAATACAATAATTATTACATTACCTCCTGCAGTTGGATTGGTAAGCTCGACAATAAAAGTCTCATCCAACTCTGCAATGTTGTCATCAATGATGCCAATCTGGATTGTCTTGAATCTCTCTTGATCTGTAAACTGCAACTCCCCAACAGCATTCTTGAAACAAGTCAAGACAATGATATAAGTAAGACTACTCAAAATGGGAAAATCATGCCCTTTATAGGTTAAAAATAGGTTTTGTAGTGTATCCTAAAGTGGCGTATTCTTGGTGGTGGTTGGCATGTAAGAAAGACATGATGACATAGAATTTTATGGATGATAACTCAAAATTTAAGATTAACCTGAAAGTCCAAATATGCTGTAAAAAGGTAGCCATAATTTATTTGATGCCATGGTGTGGTATCAACTTGAACAAATCATAGTTTACATTGTATGACTCACCTGGAAGTCCACAGATGTAGATGCTGTGTTGGAGATAGCGTTGTACTCCACAGAGACATCCCCTACAGACCCCTGTGCCCTCACCACCAGCAGTGTCACGCTCCGAGCCTCTTCAGCAACATACTTAGTCAGGTTTTCAGTAGCAGGTGGAATGACTGGGTCACTAGATGCAGGTTCAGAGCCCAATGAAAACTGAAAAGAAACACATTTTCTTATAATCATCTTCATCGTAAAAGGGAATGCACAATCTATTCCAATTTGTCAATCTGTAATAATGTAGCACATAATACAGTGGATACTATCTGAAACATCTGACTCTTTACAGAATGTATCACTAAGTTGCTTGATTTATTTTGTATTACATAATTTTTGCCTGGATATCTAGCCTTCATTTATGCTTTATACATTGTGATGTAACAGATTGGCACTACTCAGTCTTCAGTACCAAGGAAAGAGCATGTCTTGTATCATGCATGGAAATGTTCATTTCTAAAACTTTGCAGCAACACAACTGCAATGAAATCTTTCTGTTTCTGTTACTGACCTGGAACAGTCCATATGGATAGTCATTCTCCACCACTGTGATGTTGTTGACTGCAGCTGCAGGGCTGATGCTGGCACCACTGGTGGGAGTCGACCCCTCCACACCGTCACCTGACTCTACCTGGGACAGAACCACCTGGAAACCCTCCTCCAACTCTGGGATCATCTCATCATACACTTCCACTGTGACGTTCTGGGAACAAAGGTATGACTGTTGAGTAAACCTAGATTTGCAAAGGGCTTCAGAATCTATCATTAAAGAAAAAGAGACAAATAAAGAAAAGCATCATTTCCTCAAAAGAGGTTGCATTAACTAGACATACAGTACATTAACACTGACCATCTGAGTCACATCCATGGGAAAAATGATGCTGTTATTTGAGTACACAAAATCCTGGACATCAGTCAAGACCGTAGGAGACACTTGACGGATGACCCATGACACAGTGACAGAGTCAAAGGTCCCCCTGGATCTGGTGACAGGACAGCTGACATTGGTGCCTTCTGATGTTGGGTTGGGTGTGCACGGTCCATAGAAACCAAACAGTCCGTTGGCATTGTCACTTTTCAGAACTGTTGAAAGCAATTAAATATGGAATGAGTGAGAATAGAGGGCACAGATATGAGATGTAAAAAAAAACAGTCTGAGAATAAAAATATACTTCCGGTAATAATTGTGTTTAATTAATAATTCATGAATACTGTACATATTTTCCTGACCTGTGACTGTAGCATGACCATGAACTGGGGACACGTTAGCACCACCTTTCCCAGAGATGATCACCATGGTGAAGACCTCGTTTTGCTCAGGGATGTCATCTTGTACAGACTGTAGTCGTGCTGACTGAAGTCTGACGCCTTCTGGATAAGAGAAGTAGCCTGATACAGGACCAAGGCTCTGAGCTGCCTCTGAGTCAGCCAATGAACTGATCTCACTGGAAAGAAATTGAGTAAAGAATCAGTCAAAACAGCTCATAACAGCGTCCAGATTAAATTTGGACTTTCCAGAGCACTTTGGACAAATGCTTCTAGCTGTCTTCAGCTTATACTTACAATGCTAATATTTTGTGAACAACTTCCCTGTCACCGTACGGATCATATTGACCCCCAGTGGGGGTCGTCACGCATCGTTAAAAATCAAAAAATCTTAAGATTTTTCTTTAAAATCTCAAGATGTTTCGGAAAATCTCAAGATTTTTTTAAACAATCTCAAGATTTTCCAAAACAATCCAAAGATTTTTTTGAAAGATCTCAAGATTGTTTCTGACAATCTCAAAACATCTCAAGATTTTTTAAAAGAATCCTTAGATTTTTACAAACAATCTCAAGATTCTTTGAAACAGTCTCAAGTTTTTTAAATAGTCATATTGAAATTGCTGTTTAAACGTTATGTAAGATTGATAATAATCAATATCAGGATTTTCCGGAGGTTTTATTGCTGTGTAAGTTCTGTTTTAGCTCGTTGACAAGAGTTTATTTTTCTGAATCTTGTCTGTCACTGATAGATAACCCCATTCACAGTTTGACGGTTTCTTCTCTCCTTTTTTTTGCATCAGTAGTGTGTTAATCCTACAAGTAGACTTCTCCGAATTATTTTTGCATAGTGAAAGTTTGCATGGTGAATAAACCATTGACATTACATCTTGCAAGAATTATAACTTCTGGATTTTCTGTTATATTGATGGATTACACTGTAACCTGGTGACCAAGTCTTTGTTAGCTGCAGTGTCTCTTTCGTCCTCTCTGCAAATTCTTAGATTACAGTACGATTACAGCAGGATTTCTTGATGACATATATATCAATCGCTTCATGTATCTGCATGTCCATGTAGCAGCAAATAAAAGCCACATTGTCGGTCTGTACGGCCCGGGACCAGGGGTTTTATCGGTTTCTACTGGCTCCTCCTGTTTCTTACAGGTCCCCCGATGTCAGGAAAAGAAAACTAGTCTAATAAAATAAGTTAGGGGTTATATGCAGATTTCTATATTTTAAGTGGAAGACTTGCCAGTTTTGTTGGTTAGCAATTCCATTCGGGGTAATATTGAAGCAGTACATGCTGGTTTTTCACTGAGAAACTTTGATGGGAAGAAAACTGATACAGCAGCAAGTTGGAGAGGACCAGGAATGTGGCATGAGATTGAGTGAGTTTTCCCTGGGAACCAGACTTGACCTGTGAAGCTGGGGGCATGGAGGGTGAGTGATAGCCCGATCCACCCCTCCCCACTATCCGCTGTACCTCTAGACTGTGCTGTGCAACTTAAAGACACACAGGCCCCATACAGAATGTAGGTCTGCCGCCATGAAAACTCTTTGTCTGAGTTGGGCAAAAAACCCGAAGCATGTCCTGCCGTACTTTCTGTTGATGTGTACAAAGCAGGGTATATTGGTTATGTTAGGAAAAAGTGTGTAAGTATTGATTTTTTGAAGATTGCTTCAGACAATCTCAAAACATCTCAAGATTTTAAAAAGAATCTCAAGATGTTTACAAACAATCTCAAGATTCTTTGAAACAATTTCAAGATTTTTAAACGTCACTTTGCATCTAGGTGTAGCTACATTGTAGCTAGTATCGGGTATTGTGTGTGCATTGTTAACCCGGGTAATGCATTGTTACCTAAAGTCTATAATGCATTATGCTTTCCCAGCCTACAACCATTCGGGTAGGCTCCTTTGACTGTGAGCCCATTTTTCTGCAGGGGGGGGGGGGGCTTGGTGAGATAATGGGCTTGCTAATGGGTTTTTGATGGGTTGAGGGGAGAAGCCATTTCCAGTACCCCGCCCCTGTCATGACAAGGCTTCATTTTTTAGGTCTTTGCTGATTAAGATTGACACTGGTTACTGGTTTGAAATGATTCTTTCTACCAAAAATTAGGAAAAATGTTTTCAGTAACACTTTTCATCTAAATCATATGTGGCATTTTGTCCAGACTAGGCAGGGTTATATTACCTCAGAGGAAAAGTACAGCATAGTTATGAACATATACTATAGGCCATAATAGACTAAAGGTAATCTTTTCTTGAGCCATGGTTAAGCAGTCTTGATATAACTCTGACTAATCTGTGACTGCCATTTGCAACAGTTTGTATAAATGTAGTGATGTCATCAAACTACATGTTACTAGGGAAATTGACAAAGTTCTTACGGGACTTCATTCAAGTCCATGGTTAGAGTTTGAAGGACAGTGAAAGTAATGAGTTACATGTAACTTGTTCTAAGTACTGAAGTACTGAGGGGTCAGCTTGCCCACAAGACTTTATTGCCACAAATCTAAACATTCACACAAATCTGGACCAGATGTTCCCCTATCAGATCCCCCAAGCAGATGCACCACAATACAGAATCCAGCTAATAATAGTTGAAACAATAGAAGGTAAAAGGAAAATGTTTGTGGAGACTTCACAGCAAATATTTTATAATCTGCTGAGACAACTTTTTGATAAAATATCTTGTTCAATACAATTAGATACTACTTTAAAATTAAAGCTTGTCTCTACTGAATGATTTCCACCTGTCGTCTACATGCATGTGTTCAATGCCATGAGCCAATATCCTTTACAATGCATCTCCAAGATAGCAAGAGCTGGTCTTTGACTATAGTATAGGCCAATGCAGCACTAAAAGTCTTGCACATGTGCATGTGCATGTGCATTGAGTTGTGTATCCTGTCTACTCTCCAAGCAGAGGTTGTGGGAGAATGATCGTTACCTTTTTATATATGGCCGTTTTTTTGTCTTGATCCCCACCACCGTCGGTGGCCGCGGACCTTCTCTGGCTAATGGATACTGCCTGGCCAATTTGATACTGTCTTTTTGCCACCGAGAGGGATCTGCTTGGAGATTATATCCTGTCTACTCATACAAGGAGGACCCCTGCTGAAATTTCTATTGACATAAGGGAGCCTGATGTCACAAATGTCCCTGCCTTTAGGTCAGCTAGAAGCTATTAAAGCTCCCTACAGACTTTGATCTACTTTTAATGTTTTGAGAATGCAGGCTTAACAGTTATAATCATGGCAATGACTAAACCAAAACCCATTCATAATATACACATGTACCAAGGAGGATACATAAACATGCGTAGTGTACAAGCAAGGGGCCTTCTGAACTTTACTCAGAGAATAAGATCAGCCAGAGTGACCTAGTTTCAGGACCCCCTGCCCTGTGATAACACCCCTGATTCTCTAGAGCTTCCTCCCTATTACCAGCTCGTGCAGTTTGGGTCTGGGTAGAATTCTGTCTGCTGGCCTTGGCACTGTACTTTGTCATGTATACACTATTTTAAGGTCTTAAAGCCTAAAGTAGTGCATGATACATTGTAAGTTGATGATACAATTTGTAAGTTTTGAATTTAAGTTTGTTTTCAAATGTTTAAGATAAAAGATTATATGTACATTCGATATAATGTCCTTGGTACATTCAAACTCTGTATAAATTGGGTTGTATCATTTTTGGGGGACAACCTTTTCTGGGAACCAATCAATTTACTTGTCAAAGCTTTGAATGAAGGAGCTGGCATATCAATTCTAACTCCTTGATTGACTATCTGTTAATTGAGACCAGATCCAGTACTATATGCACTATGGGAGTACTGTTTTATAACTGAGTCTTTTCAATCAGTTTCATCCCTACAATCTCTATCATATCCTAAATTACTTACCTTATATCGTCTTTGTGTTTGTATCTTCGCCATCCATCTGATAAACTGCTAAACTAAACACAGGAGAGAGGAAGGGTGTACTATGAACGACTTTATAGTGAGATTGTCCCGGCAGCAATGCATCTGTGATTAATTAGCCACCAGGACATTGAGAGAGGAGATCGGTCGTACTCCAAAGATAAGCTTTGCCAGTTTGAGAAGTGGTAATCAGGGGATGTCAGCTTGGATTCTTTGGTTGTTTTGTATCTGTGCTGTTGGGTGTTAGCCTCAGGTGCTATTGTGCCATCCTCGGTTAGCACACCTCCGCAGTGGATTGTTTTAGAAGATGTAAAAAAATTGCGGAAAAACACTGCACCAGACCCTCCCCATATCTGCTTGATTTTAACTCCATGCTCCAAGCAAGCCAGTGAGAGAAACCCTGGCAGCCTAGATCTACTGACTGTGAACACCAGCTAATCCATTCGCACACCATGTGGTAGAGTCTGTGGTAGGGACCAAACTCATTGGAAGAAGGCTGTCATGATGAGCCAAGCTGCCATCTGTGCACGGAACAGCTGAAGTAAGCTAGGGGCATCCTTGCCATAAACTACCCATACAAAAAGCTGAAACTGAATCTTTTTACATTTGCTTTAGGACTTTTTAGTCCCAGAGGACAGTCATATTAGAAAATCTGGAAGGTGTTTGAAGGTGTTCTTTAGGTGACCACAGTATACTACATCTACTATTCCTAGCCTCCCCCTTTCTTGAAGTTGGTATACTCCTCAGACCTCCAGCCAGGGCTTTCAGACCTGAGCCCTTGAGACTTTCAGGTTGCCTTTCCTGGGCTGGCCTGGTAGTAGAGAGGACACTGATGTCTGGTTTAGAAAGAAAATCAATGGTCATCACAGGTTTTTTAATGATTCTCTGCCAAGAAATCATAGAAAGTTCCAATGACACCGTATATAGTTCCATTAAATCATAATGATGCAAGCAGAAAGCAGCAAAGAATTCTTTAAAAGGTTGTCATTTGACATTGTTTTTTGTACAGTGGGCTGTTGTGCTCTGTTTGCAGGCTAGCATTAGCCTGAGTGCCGATTCCCTGTTTACTGGGACTTCCATAGCCTGGATACCAGACCCAAAGCACACTGGTACTGGACACAAAATATCTCAGTGAGCATATTTTGTGTCCAGTGTGCTTTGGGTCTGGCATGCAGCCTAGGACTTCCATGTCTCTGGCTCTGAGGATATCTGGTGTATCAATCTCAACAATCTCAGGAGGGGTTTGTTTATAATGGACAGGCTGGAGTAATCCTCCAGAGAGTAATGTCATGTACATGTAGCCTGGTTACCAAACCTTAAATGGTCATAGACATGGTGTCAAACATTGCTACAAGAAATGGCTGTACTCTGGTACTGCTGTACAGTACGCACATGTTTAGATGGTTTCTGACCCTAAAATGACCTCAAATGGACATTGGACCTCCCACACAAAACCCATTATGATAGTGGGTTGAAGACGAGATAGACATAAATGAGCTGGTCCAAATTAAGAAATATCCCACATGAGGGTAGAAATGTCCTACATGCCTACATGAGAGTAGCTCATCTACCTCACATGGGAAGAGGAGAGAAGGAATGGAGGTAATTAGAAGAGGGGGTAGGGGGTCGAATGTGTATGCTGAAACTAGTGAAGTAGAATTTTACTTCACTTATCATGATGATGATGGTGACTTAACTCTTAACTTCGTTCTACTTCTGACAGCAGATCTCTTCTTGTAGTCTTGAAACCTTCTGGTATTCTAGTTTCAACCTTGGGATAACAATCACAGCGATCTTGACATTCATGTGTTGGAAGGTGTTATTTCTTGACAAAATTTGGTCCATTTCCTTATGTTGGACATTACAGTTCAAACTTTTTTCATAATCACATTGATTGTTGGAATCTTATACTAGTAGTACCCCTTGCCCACTAGTCTAACCTCTAAAATGATATGGAGCTGTGTTTGTTTTGCCTGGGCTGCCGATCCCAGGGATCGGCGTTAATGACTTTTTAATCAATCCAGGGTGAACACCCGGCCAGGCTCCCAGAGCAGCTAGCCTGGCAGATCAGTGGCCGTCCCCGCTGCAAGGGGATTACTGAAGCCCTGTGTAATTAATCAGGCGTGAAACGACCGGCTAATGTGAACAGTGCCGGGGACAGAGGCCTAGGAAACAATTTTGTGACCAAAAGGCAAAACTGGCCATACAGTACATGTACTTATAGTCAAATAAGAAGAAAAAAACAAAGAAAGAAAGAAATTTATCTACAAATAACGTTACATCAAAATTGAAGATTTTGTAGGACCACATGTGCCACATGCCCCTGGGAAGCCATCCTGCAATCAAGGGGAGGGGGTGACAGTTAAGTTCTCCTCCCAGGTAGTTCGAAACCAATTAACAATTATCTCTATCAGCTTTTTCTGGACACTGTAAAAACATAGGAATCCACACAGGGAGGTATGTTATCTATATAATTTGTCTGTAGCTAAGGTTAAAGAATGTCAGAAGGAAAGAAACTGGACCAAGAAACTGAAAGGTTTCTTTTCACAGTGTCTGAAGCTAATTATATGTACATTGTATGTCTATCAAAATGATTGAAGACTTAGTATTCTGAAAAGGTGGGAGATCTGGAGTACTTGCAGGGCTTAAAAAACTTTTTTCTGCATTACCATACACTGCTGGTGCAGGTACACACTATCCAGTTTAGCGTCTGTGGTTCCCCGACTTCCGGGGGTTGAAAATTACCTTCACCTTGCATGTTTTACTTGCACAACTCAGACTTGGGAAGTGTGGATCATATTAAAAGCTCTCCTGTTGCAGTAATCTTTTCATGATGGGCCTAACATACATACTGCACGAATGTAGGATGTAGTTTTGTGACCCACCAGTCTTAGAAATGTTCTACACTGTGTATATAATGGTGATCCTATTGTTGAAAAAAGTATTGAACATTTAGATTTGGGTCAAGAAAACATTTCCCCCAACACCATATTTCAATTATATGGAAAACTCACCGAACTGTTTTAGAATGTTAATTTTCTTTTAGATTTTTCAAAAAAAATTTTGGGATTGTTAAAAAAGATCTTGAGATTTTCCAGAAAATCTTGAGATTTTCCAGAAAATCTTGAGATTTTCCAGAAAATCTTGGGATTTCTAAGAAATATCTTGAGATTTTAAAGAAATATCTTAAGATTTTTCGACTTTTAGTTTAATTTTCTGTTAACTGTCAATCTGTTGTATAATGCAAACAGGTCTATTTGATGTAAAAGTTACATTTTGAACTAAACCTACATGTTAAACATGACAGCTGGCTCTGTTAAAGCCAGTAAGAACTGAATGACTGAAAAGCTATATGTTGTGTGTAAATGAAGCTTCTTCATTGTGCACCCTGCTAGTACAAGCCCAAAACTACCACAACTGGCCTAAATCAGAATTTACACGAATCTTAAGAAGATGACGTTTGAACAATAATTTCAAGATTTTTTTTTGAAATCGGTTCAGATCACCTGAAGATGTCCATTTCTTGAATGTTTCCCCTGATGCAACGCTTTCATTTTCCCAATATAAGATAAAACATATTACATAAAACATACATGCCATGCATTTCTGTGACCTACACATTATGCCTAAGTTAGAATGGTGTCGTGTTACTTTATTATTCTGTTATTCAAATCCTAATAGTTCTGATGTACATGTATGACAGTCCTGTAAATTTTTATGTGATGCAAGAATTTACCACTTGACCGTTATGCAAGAATACTCAACCATCAGATTGCGCAGACATATGTTAAGAACAACTATGCAGCTATGCCACATTTGATACCATAGTTGTATCGCTAATCCACCAGAGTCACAAAGAGGACTCAGAAGACACTGAAAAAAATGTTAATCTACCATTGACAAGCTCCATGAAAATCTAAAAAAAACATCATCAACTTGCCTAAACTCTCAAGACTCAGAACTTACACAGCAATAAAACCTTCCGGAATATTCTGACTTTGATTAATATGAATCTTACATGAAGTTTAGACATCAATTTTAAGATGACTTTGAAAAAAATCTCCAGATTGTTTAAAATAATATTGAGATTGTTTGTAAAAATCTTGAGATTCTTTAAAAAATCTTTAGATGCTTTGAGATTATCTGAAACAATCTTGAGATTTTTAAGAAAAATCTTGGGATGGTTTTGAAAAATCTTGAGATTGTCCGAAACATCTTGAGATTTTAAAGAAAAATCTTAAGATTTTTCGATTTTTAACGATGCGTGACGACTCCCGCTGGGGGTCATTATGATCCGTACGGTGACAGGGAAGTTGTTCACAAAATATTAGCATTGTAAGTATAAGCTGAAGACAGCTAGAAGCATTTGTCCAAAGTGCTCTGGAAAGTCCAAATTTAATCTGGACGCTGTTTCATATTCTATAAAACAATAAAAGCAAAGATTAACATAGCATCAAACTTATGTGATATACCCTATAGATGAATCGTTCCTTACAGAGTTTATTCATCTTAAGTTTATAATTCTGATGATACACTTACAAGCAAAAGGATATGGTTTGATTTTGAAGATAATATAATTCCAACTAGAGTCAATTCCGCGTCACCGTGTGGGTTGTTATTGTCATTATTTAGAAATGTTTTGAATTCTTTGTAATTGTTTGTCTAAGAAATTTCATAATTTGGAAATATTTTGAACATCTTGTCAATATTCTAAATAATTCCCTGGTTTTCTAAAACGTTTGAAATATTCCTGATGTGGATTATGACATTTCCAATAGTTTCTAAATATTTCTAACAGCACTCTACCATTTTTTACCATTATTTCGAATTATTTCTAACATTTTGTAAATAGGTCAGTGGGATGGGAAGGAAGTAATTCACACATCCCTGTGGAGTACAGGGTAGATTGCCAGGGTGTCAGGCATTGATGCCTTACAACAAAAGAGCCACCAGTGTCCAGCAGTGAAATCTAAAAATATACAGAGGAAGACAGAAGAGTAGGATTAGCACCTACTTTTATGGGGGCAATTACCCACATCTACCATTTGGTTATTTGTTTGAAATAGTTCTAAATATTTCGAATTGTGAAAGAAACACATGGGTAGTTCAAATTTATTCTAAAGAAAGAGATCTTTGTACAGTCACATTCAAAATGTTTCAGAAATATATGAATGAATTCAAATATATTCAAATTTTCATTTTCAAATTTTTGAAAAATTTAGAACTTTTGTTACTGGGGTATTCTTTTCTTCTAAATAATTCAAACGTATTAGAAACATGGAGAAAAAACCCACACGGTGACGCGGAACGGACTCTATGTCAATCTACCTAATTTTGAAACAAACATGGCACTGTACCGTGATGTAAGCTTCCTTGCATAAATCCTGACATCTTGCATGGTGCCTGTGAAGTTTCCACTTCCAGGAGACACAGCACCCACAAACAGAGCCCCAACCTCATCATCAATCGTTTGAACTCCACCTTCCAGTGCTTGGCTGAAGAACAGAAATGACACAGAAAGTCAACATGATAGAATTATGCATGTATATCATTACCGTAACGAAAAATTGATTTAGAATTGGGCCTGAAACAAACATATTCATTAACCTCACAAAGAAGTGCAGGCTTTTTTTTTTGATGGCTACAACTTTGTATGTGTGTTTAGAAGTAGTATAAATCCAAAGTATTTCATTTTTCAGGAATTTTCATTATTTGCATAACAAGTTTGCACACTATACTATATGATTGGACAGGTATATTCAATCTTGAAGCAAACAGGATCATCCTATATGCATTGCTTTAAGCAAACATGTAATGTGATGACAGCTGCACATGTGCACAACACATTGTACTGCTCCAAACCTAGAAGCAAGCAAGTTTAACATCAGTTGAGTAAAGACGCTGTAAACCATCAGATACTTGCTTTGGCATAAAAGCATCTATTGTGAGAACTGATTGGCACGTTGTCTGAAACATCAGGCATAAATTGAACGAATGCCAAGCGAGTTGACCAAAGAAACATACGGTAATGTGGTACTGTCCAACCCTATGGAAGGAGATGAACTGTTCAGATGGACACTGGAATATGGAAAATATGCATGCTTTGACTTTCCATCTCAATAGTCTCAAACTGATTTTAAACACAGATGTTTTTTAAATTAATATATAAATCACCATTTTGATGCCTTTAAATTGGTGGACCTTCAATTTTGATTTGAATTAAACATGATTTGATTAGAATTGCAACAATTGATTGATTGGTTAATTGATTGATTGACATTGATTAAATGGTATGCAAATACAACTGATCAATTGATTGATTGATTGGCCAATAAACCTACTACTTAAGCAATGGATGAATGGATTGTCTGGACAGATAATTGATGACAGATAGGTTTATCAATTTACCATAAAGATTGTGGTGCTCAATGTCAGTATGGTTCATTGTGCTCAAGGAAAAAGTGGGCTTATAGAGCTTGAATTCATACCTTGCTGTTCCACCAGTCTGTAGTCCATCGATGTAGAAGTCCACCATGCCGTTCCCCACTGCAACAGCCATGTGATGCCACCTGCCATCCTGGGTGACTTGATTGGTGGAGTAGGACAGCACTTGGTTTTCCTGTACCAATAGAACACAACAGTTACAACTGTGTATTCAGCAAAGGTATGTCACAATCAAAATTACATACTAAAAATGTTGACATACATGTACATATCTTCTAACAGCATCTTAATGCAGATGTCAAATAAAATGAGTTTTAATTTGTGGCGTTTACAAGACTTAGCGTAGAATGTCTGCAAGTTGAGACGGTTACTTACAGGATTCCCAGGGACAGAGTATCTGAACCACAGTGCTGTATCATTCTCTGTAGTTCTGAGTTTGAGGGAGTAGTAGTGCTTCTCTCCATCAGGACTGGTTTTGGAAATGACCATCCCATCAGTGTCCGAGTCTGGTTTTACCCAGGTGGACATGGTGAAGCCAGACCTGATCTCTGCCTCAGTGGGGTGGTACTCCTCAGACACGTGCAGGTATGATCCTGTTAAAGGACAAAAACACTGTATCATAATTTTATATCAGGCAAGGCACAACAATGCATTTGCTCATTTTTCATTTCTTTTGATTTCTACTGGCATTTCACAGACAAAATGCTCTCCATACTGTATGAGCAGCATAGTTAATACCTTATATATACAGTAAGTATAAATACTAACTAACTGGAAATAAGTTGACTATATTCCAAATTTGACTCATTGTAGGTTTTACTACTGACCATCTGAGCCTGTGAAGTACAGAGCCAGTGTTCCTGTTTTGTCCCTCCCAGGCCTCTGCTGCACAGCGGAGGTGTAGGTTCCCAGCATGAACAAGTCATACACTTTAGGCAGGCCTGCAGCCAGGGAGGGAGGCAGGACTTCCCACACAAGCTGGAGTGGAAGCACAAAGTTACACAACAGAGTTGAGCCAGAGAAAATGAGTAATTGCTATGTATACATTCACAATGGTTTGAAATATAACAGCTCTCTTTCAGCACCAAGGACAAGGGATACTGCATAGAAAATCATCAACAGGCTTTTGCACCACTGTAGTTTGATGCAATGAGAATTAGGTGGGTTCAATTTTATAATTTAAATAAACTTAACATCATTGACTGATTTAGTTAAGAATACCCCTTACCTTTTACTAGGGATTCTTATTGTTTCCAAATGAATCTCCTTTTAACCCTTTAGCTGCCAGTGTTTCTCACCAATACATCCCCTCTGTGCCAGGGTTTCCAGACCCTTTTGAAATAGGGGGTACTACCTTTGTATTACTGTCTTTTTGTCATTTTCCCCTCAACTTACCATATCATGCCAGATATCATTAGAAAGCTAAGAATGTGTACTTTACAGAAAAATATTTCAAATGTAGCCTGACATCAATAGTAATGAATTACAAGGGCAATAATGCAATAAAATAGCTGTTTTCATAGTTTTTGTTGTATTACAATGCCTAAACTATATAAAAAGTATAAGTATGAAACCTATAACATTCCTGACATGTCCTGACACTATGAGAATCACATACACGTAAAATACAGCACTCAGGTGTCACTACAGGTAAGTTTATGATCAGATATTGGTATAGGTGCTGAACTGACTATTCAGCTAAAACACTGATCCATTACAACATATTTCACTTCTTTCTGTACCCTTATAAAAGATGGTACATAGACTTGTTACATATCATATGAAAGCATATAGTAGATACTATAACTAGAAATGTATATCAACTTGATAACATAAAACTACAAGGGTCATAAACGGGTAAAGAGGCAATAAAATGCACAATTTCCACCTTGTTTCCATACAATCAACAATAAGCAACCACAGAATGACTTGGGCCTTGACTTAACAGATCCTGACATGTCCTGACACTATGAGAATCACATACACGTAATCATACAGCACTCAGGTATCATTACAGGTAAGTTTATGATGGATATTGTCCTAGGTGCTGAACTGACTATTCAGCTAAGACACTGATTCATTACAACATATTACACTTCTTTCTGTACATTTATAAAAATGGTACATAGAGTTGTTACATACTATATGGAAGCATATAGTAGATTCAGGAATGTATATCAACTTGATAACATAGACCATAAGGGTCATAAACAGGTAAAAAGCAATAAAATGTGCAATTTCCACCTTTTTCCATACAATCAACAATAAGCAACCACAGAATGACTTGGGCCTTGACTTAACAGATCCTGACATGTCCTGACACTATTAGAACTACATACAAGTAAAAATACAGCACTCAGGTATCATTACAGGTAAGTTTATGATGGATATTGTCCTTGGTGCTGAACCAACTAATGTATACAACATAATACATTCCTTCCTGTACCCATGTAATCGATGGTATATATACTTGTTACATATCATATGAAAGCTTATTGTATATACTATGTCTAGGAATATATTTCAACTTGACAATATAAACTACAAAGGCAATAAACAGGTAAAAAGCAATAAAAAGTATACTATTATACTTTATACCATGGAAAAATTTACATAAAAGCTGCTATAAAATAGAAATAAAACTTGCCACTAAATCCACTTTGTGCAGTGAAAACATGGGGAGACTTCGTCAGGCTGTTTCCATCCACCCTCTGCCAGTTTGTGCCATCAAATCTTGTATCAGTTGCAGCTTGATGGGCGGCTCCGGGATTTAAATCCCCATCAGCTGGCCGGCTGCAACCTCGCCTGTCAGTGCCACGTCCTCTTGTTGTTTGGCCTCTTCCACACCCCTGACCTCGGCCCCGACCTCTACCCCTAGCACGACCACGGCTATTAGTAGTTCCATGACCGATGTCACATTCACCAATGCTATCTGGTTCCATGTGAGCACATTTCCTCCCGTCTGCTAACACGATCCGTCTCATTTTCACTACTCTCAATGGAATCAGCGTCTGATATATGTTAACCATAGGCTAAATCAACAGTAGCGACCTCCTACAACAGTTCTTCGAGGGTAAACGTCGTCATTTTGGTGTTAACAGTCCAAATTCACCGCCCAAAACACGTAAACAAAAGAACAAAGCCTCTGCAGACGACGACGCCGCCATCTTGGCAATTATAGGCCGCAAAGCATTGTGGGATGACGTAATCGGGGATTACGCAACCCACTTTGACCTCTGACCTGCCCTCACTTACCCCGCCAGTCACTTCCGGGTTGGCGGGCGCGAAACATGCAGCTGTGCTAAGTTATCCCGGGGAATACCCTATCCCGAAAATACCCGGGCATGGCACACAGGGGATGTATAGTGAACCCGGATATACCCGGGACCGGCAGCTTAAGGGTTAAAATGGACTTCCAGCCATCTCCTTTTATCTTAGGTAGGAACAATGTTTTTACATAGACTGAAAACTTGTCTAAATTCTTACCAAACCATATTCTGAAGAGTGTGAAATGCAAGCTGGTTTACCTCCACATCTCCTACAGCTCCTTGTGCTCTCTGGATGGTGAAGTTTGCCCCTGTGCTATCCTCGTCTCCTGGAAGAAAGTCTTCTGCAATGTCTACCATGCTGGAGCCTGCTGGGAACATGAACCTGCCATATGGGTCATCGTTGGTTGGAATGGTCAAAACAGCCTCCAGATTCTCAGTAGCCAGTTTACCACCAGGACCAGGGCTGCCACCTGCAACAAAATACATGTTTTTGGTATTCACAACTGCACACTGATTTCTCTAAAATCCAGTAAGTATTTTACACATATGTATTTTATTTGGAATGTGTCTAATATAAAGAGAAAAAAAAACATTTCAACATAAAATTTTGGGGCCAAGAGGTTAATAGCCTGGGATGATATTTTAACATCCTAACTTAAGACAAGAAGAGCATTGCAAGAGCATTTCATCGTTTGTGAAAAGTGTCTAGAGAATAGCCATTCAAGTAATCCTACCAGTTGCATTGACCAGCCTCAGTGTGTAGTTCTTGGGGAACTCTGGGATGTTGTCAGCCATGACAAGAGCAGAGATGGGCCGCTCGATCTCTCCTTCTGCAAATGTGATGTAGCCTGAGGTGTTGTTAAACTCCTCTCCAACAGGAACTGGGGAACCTGACATGTCGTAGAACTGGTACCAGATCTGCACTTCTCCCCAGAAGCCTCTCTCTCTGATAACACTGCATGAAAACAAACATGGAACTGGTTACACAAACACTGAACTTTTCAGAAAATAGAGGAGACCAATAACTAATTTAGAAAAATTCCTAAGATTTGTTTGGAAATTTTGCTTTTCCCATTTGGTCTCCTTCTATTTTCTAAGTATCTTTAGAAAAGTCCCTTTAAATTGTTCTGTTAAACACAGCACGTAATAATACATAAATTGCACTACCAGGACTTACGTGAAGTTGACTGTGACCCCTTCTCCAGGTGCCACCTTTTGTTGCTCAGCAAGTGCAAAGCTGAAGATGCCATTAGGATCATCACTTGCCCTGATGTATACCCTGGCTTCCGTGTTCCCATACACAACAGTGTCTCCTGAAAAAGAAACCAAAATTATGATGGAAAAAGTCAGCCACATCTTTGTAATTTCTAAGAAATGTACGATGCTAAGAAAACATTAACTAATCCTGATTACCTTTTAGTTTTCTACACTTATATTTTATGCATTGAACTGAAGTAAAGGCAGTTTGTTCTGTACCTAAGAGGGGAAGAAGCCTGTAAATACCTGTGGCTGCAAAAAGCTCAACCCGGAACATTTCATTGGTCTCTGGTCTGTCATCATCCAGAGAAGTAACAATCACTTGTTTCTCCTTCTCTCCCACTCCAAATGTGATGGTTCCATTGGTGAACTGGAAGTCAAACTCATTTGCGGTGTCGTCAACAGTGCGGTACTGTACACTGGACACATAGTTGGCTGACCCGTTTCTACGGACGGTGAGAGTGGCTGAACCGGGTTCATCGATGTACACTTCTGGGTCTGAAAGATGACAAAAGTCTTTTACTACACCTAATTCTTGTGCTTCAATAGAAGAGCTTTAATGAATGAAATGTCAGAAAAATTATTTGCCATTTTTAAGTCATAGTGACAGTCACTTATAAAAGTTATACATTTAGTCCAGTTTCTAAATACTGCATCATATGTGACTGTTCCACATGACTATTGGATTAATGCAACTACCCAGACTTTCTCAAAACAAAAACAAGAGCTGATTACTGAGTCAGACCTAAAAAGTACACTGCATCATCATTGTGTGCAATTGTGACAATACTGGTGGAAGGTGCACCCAGAGAGGCACCATTGGTAGGTTCAGTCAGCATGATAGTAAAGGCCTCGTCATCTTCAGGAATCTGTGAACAAGTAAATTTTAGATATCAGTAAATCTTATTTTGTCAAAGTCCATAGCAACGGAAATATCAAAAGTGACACAAAAACAAAGATCAGTGGACCTCATTTGCTACGAATATATACTGGTGCAACATACCATATCAGGAAGTGACTGCAGTTCCAAAATTTTCAGTGTCTCTCCATCAGCAAACTGCAGTACTCCAGCTACTGGTGACACATCTGCTGTGTTGTTTGGTGAGATGTACCAAGACACACTCGCTGGGCCAAATGCTCCCCTGCCTCTCACAACTCGGAAAGAGGCGGGGTACACATCACTGCTCGTACTCTCACCTGTAAACAAAAAAATTGTTGGAAATTCAACCATGATAGTACAATTATAATTATAGTACAGTTACAGTGCTTGTTATGTGTAACGCCCTCTCAAATTTCAAAATTGTACAAGGAAAATCACACTTAGTCTATATTTCACCAATGACTAAGTTCCAATTTACTCTTAGTCTTTAAGTTAGTATATTACAATTCTTATTTTGCCATTGTATACATTGTGCATTCATTTGCTGTGACTCAGATGATTTGATATTGTCTTCTGCATTCCTCAATATGAAACATGTTTTAAAATCTAAATAGCTTACTAATTGTGATGTCTGTATCAGCAAAGGAGAAGACTCCGTAGGGGTCATCGTTCTCCAGCACAGTGATAGAGATGGTGCTGGGGCTGCCGATCACGCTGGCCGCCTGACCCTGTCCGCTGAAGCTTCTCAGCTCCAGGGTGTATGTCTCATTCAACTGGACAGGAAAGAAATATCATACAGGTTTGTACAGGTCTGATTACTCTGAACAAGATTAAGACTCAAAATTCAAACTAATATAGTTTCTATGAATAATGACACCTTCTGAACTGTGGGACATTTTTCTGTTACCAACTTCGAGAAACTAAGGCCACACCAATTTAATTTCTTGGTTAACGGATTTTTGTAGAAAAATAATGGAGCGGGCGGGCGAAAAAAAAATGAAAATAAAAACAGGCCTAGGCATCGTATTATGGCCCAAAATGGTACGATATGAGCCATGAAGTCAACACACCAGGCTGGTTCAAAATTTAAACAATGAATTTTGAACTTTTAATGATACCATTGCACTGAAAGATGGAATAACTGTAACAACTAGGATGAAAAGGTCTGTTTTCAACTGTTCAGGGCAAAATATGAGCATTTTGCAGTTGATTCTGGATTTTTATTTTTATTTGCAAATCAGAAAAAAATGAAGCGGCGAATCCGTTAACCAAGAAATTAAATTGGTGTGGCCTAAGGCTCCAATAATATGAATACTAGGAATAATCTTCATCTATAATACTGAAAAAATACCCTTTCAGTAGAAGTGAAAGTCCATAAATTAAGGGTAAGCTTAGGCTCTAAATTGAAAGATGGGAATAACTACTGTCTGGTGGTAGACATACATGTTTTGACACTTGAAATCAATGGAAATACATTTACCTCAGGATCACCATCTTGTTTAGCTTGCATGGTGACAGTGTGGCTGGTCTCCCCAACCTCAAACAGAACCACTCCCACTCCGCCCAGGAAGTTGGCCTCTCCATCAGGCTCTATGGTGTACTGAACCGTGCGAGGCACCAACGTCCCTCCATCTCGTGTGATGGTGAAAAGGATCAAGTCACCTTCCTGTGATATCAATGATCGTAGTTTTGTTACATCAGTCAATAATGACATATGTCTGTGCCAGGTGTTGTGGATATTGTCTTAGACTACTTTTGATATTACAACACAAAGGAAAGAAGAACTAAATTTTCTATAATGCAGAATGCCTGTTACCAGGCCGAACAATCATGGTGCATGTATTATCAAAGCAACAAATGACATTGTAATTAGAGAAAGTCATGGACAATATGCTTAGCCCTGATGCTAAAAGATGGGAAATATCCCAATAACACAAACCTGCACCACAAAGGACCCAGCAGTGCCATCAGAAAATGAGAATATCCCTCCTGCGTCATCATTCTCCTCTATAACCACATTCACAGTTTCAAACCCAGGTTTGAGCTTCTGTGTTGAGGATGGCTCCACCCTCTGAAGCCTGACTGTGAAGGTTTCATCTGTCTCCGCAACATCATCAGGGAGAATGTCGATGCTGATGTTTTTAAAGCTCTCTCCTGAAACACAGAAAAATGCACATGAAGAAGAGATGCATGGATTGCCTCCTGTAACACATTTGAAATTGAAATGACAACATAATGATTGCAATGTAGGAGAATTGAAGCAGTGCCCACTTTTTGAGTCACATGTCCATTGGTTAAATGCCTTAAATAGCAAGAGCCATCCGAACATGCAGTTGGCTAACAATTTTTAGTCTCCTGTACTTTGTGATAGGACTATACAATGTACAGCTACAGTCTGATTCTACATGTACCTTAAGGCTGTCAAGATAGATTATATATTGGGAGTAACTCTAACCTTCAAGGAAAAGAAGAGTGCCTGACTGTGGCCTGGCATCTGAAGATGGGTCAGCAGTAGATTCCATGATCCAGTACACAGTGGCAGACCCAAGAGTGCCCTCTCTCTCAACAGTCAGAACAACCTGTAAGCCACATTTTATTGTGAACCTGTGTTACGAACACTTCATTCAATCATTCAATTACGCAATCACCTCATGATCAACTGGCAACTCTTTGAGGATGAGGCTCTCAGGTTACCCATATAAAACTTTGGTTGGCTGGAAGCTTACAAGCCAACAGAATACATCACACCACAATTATTTCTTGATAACAACCATGATAGTGAATTAGACTTACTGTCTGACTGTCAGGACCAGCAGGCTCCTGTACCCTCCTCTCTGTTACATCCGTGAAGCCCACCTCCCCGTTTGCTATGTCATCTGTGACTGCCAAAGTCAGGTTGGCACGGTCCCCAAGTCGTGGGCTGCTGGCTGGTACTGTTGGTTCAGGAGCAACTGCAAGAAAATTCACAAAGTCATCACAGTATCATACTGAGAGCACAAGGAAACTTTTACTGCAGCTCTCACATTTGCCCAGAAGATACAGCAAAGTAATTAAAGTTGGACCCAGATAAATTTTCCTGACATTCACTTACAACATGTTTCACAAAAGACCCTGGAGCAAAAAAGAGTTAACCTTCAGTATTGTCCTTGGTTCTGAACATTAAATTGGTACAGCTGCACACTGAAAATTTAACTTAACTCCTTTTCAAAGTTGAAAGAAAAAGGCTCTCACTGTCAACATCAGGATTTTGAAGGAAAACTTGAAAGCTTCCTCCAACTTGCAAGAAGGCATCCCTGTTGACTTGAATTTCCAGCTGTTGTTGAGATACACCAGGACGATACGTCAAACTTCCCGAGGTGCTGTTCAGGATACCTAAAGGTGTACATCACAGAACAATACTTGATATGTAACATATCAAAAAACTGTATTTGAAAACATTGTAGCTGAGGTAGCTTCTAAAAATTTTGCAATACTGACCTATGACATTGACTGTTTGATTATCAAATGAAAGTCTGACTGCTAACCTGTCTGTACTTGTCCTTCAGGAGAGTAGTACTGAGCCACATAAGACAGAGTGACAGTACCGACAGTGCCTCCCTCTCTCAAAACCACCAGTTGGAGTCTGCGCACATCCCCGTCCTGTAGTAGCATCATACAACCAAATAAGCACACACAAGTCTAGTTTAAACGTATTCAAAGTATTTCATCAAGTGTTTCATAATAGTACGGAATAGTTTTACATTATTTGAAATTGTACGGATATTGTACACAAGTTTTTCTGACTCACTTTTACATTTACAACAGATTCATCTCTAAATTTGAAGATGGACATTAGCTGATATATGATCATAATCTGTTTTGCTTTCCATTTGATAAAAATTGTCTATTTTAATTTTGTAATATACTAGTACCTGATTTCAAAATTCCAATACACAAAACAGCATGATGACTTACAGTGACAATCTGTTGCTGACCGGCCGGTGCAAAGTTCAGCCTGCCGTACACATCATCACTGTCCCTGAGGATCAGCTGCCCCTCGTCTGGTCCCTCCACCATGGCACCTCCCATCTCACTGCCGGGGAGTAACGTCAGGGTGTAGGTCTCAGCCTCTTCAGGAATACGATCATCCACCACTGTTAGGAGAATATCCTGAGACCTTTCTCCATCCTGCATGGAAAAGAAGGAACACGTCCAATAATCATAGTAAAACGTTAAACTTTACTCCTGGACCAACACACAATTTACAGGGATCAAGTTTTCAGCATCCAATAATCATAACCCAGCTTATAATTGTCTGAGAGTTAAGTGCTTTAGATAAAACTTGATTTTACACAGTCATAAGATTTCCCAGGTATTGCATGAATGGAAGCTCATTTCTTAAGGGTTAAGCCAATAATTCTATTTGAAATCCAGATTTCCTTCCTCAATAAGCAGTTACCTGTAAGTTGACTGTTCCATTTATTGGTCCTATATCATTGGCAACAGGATCTGTGTTTGCATCATCTCTCCTCAACTCCCACATGACAGACACTGCACCAAAAGTTCCAGCTTCTCTTGTAACAGTGAAAGCAACAAACTGTCCTGTTCCATCCTCATCTACCACCCTGCTTGTCCTGTCCAGGCTCAGCCTTCCGTTGTGGTCATCATTGGCAACGATCACAACAGTGGCAACACTTGGCATGGCAAGGACGGCATCCCCAGAGGCAATGGCAAGACTGATGGTAAAGTTCTCATCTACTTCGGGAATACCATCGTCAATGATGGGAATGCTGAACTCATCTTCGTAAACACTGGCACCAAAAGTGATGGTCGGTGTTTGGCTAGTGTTGAAGTCCTCTCCAAGTTGTGCAGTACCTGACATAGCATTGTACCTCACGACAACAGTGTCACTATCTGGACCAGCACGATTGTCATTCTCATCCAGTCCTCGTGTCACAGCCAGTGTGACACTTCCAGCTGTCTCGTTCACATAATATGTCGAGTGCCTGAATCTGACTGGGCTGTCATTGGCTGGGATCGTGACCCTCACCATGGAGGCAGACTGGTTTATATTTGCCCCACCTGTTACTTCTGTCAGCTCGACCTGAAAGACTTCCTCCTCTTCAGGCAGCTGGGATATTGGGAAACAACAGAATGTTCATGTCAAAACCTGAAATTACAGTATAACAGTTTTAGAGCAATTATTATTTTTTTATAGGAATCACGATATCATGATCATGCTTCTTTTCTTTGACCATTCTTGTCCATTCTTTGTCGTCCTATGATTTTGAGACTGTCATCAGTTGTCACATGAAAATGAATGAATAATTATCATAAAAAAAATCTGCTAATTTTCATCCTGTACAGAATGTTAAACATAATATGCTAATCCTAAAATCAACTTACATTGTCAGCCAAAACTCGAACAGTGAAGTCAACCAGATCCTGACCGGGAGGCAGGGAGACATTCCCGCTGTACTGGCTCCAGTCAGTCAATGGGCTGGGACCAGTTATCTACGAGAAACACACACTTTTAGTTTGTACATGTATGTACATGGAATATACTGACTTGTACAATGTAGATCTCATCACCAAATGCCTCACCCGTTGCTAATAGTATTAAAAAGTTATGGTTGCTGTACAATTGTAATTCTTCTCAGAAATCAAATATTGATACACTAGTACTTGCTTAGCAGCAATACCAACATCGATGATAACACTCAGTTCAAATAAGATAGAATATGAGAAACAAGATCCTAGATGATAAACAGCTTACCTGAAATGTTGCATAGACAGTATCAGCAGTGCCTCTGGCTCTCATTAGTGTGAACACAACAGGGTTGTCACCATTACTCAGTTCTGGGACAGTAACACTTTCAGCCTAAAATCAATAGGAAAATAGATGGACCCATGTTGAGTAACAACTCACAAAAGCATGCTTAGGCCACACCAATTTAATTTGTTGGTTCTCAGATTTTTTCAGAAAAAATATGAAGCAACAGGGAGAAAAAAAAAATAAACACAGGTCTAGGCATCCTATTATAAGCTTAAATGCTACGAAATGAGCCATGAAGTCAACACAAAAGGCTGGGTTAAAATTTAAACATTGAATTTTGAACTTTTAATCAAACCACTGCAATGATAGATGGGAAAACTGTAACAACTAGGAAGAAAAGGACTTTCCTCAACTGTTGAGGGCAAAACATGAGCATTTTACAGTTGATTCAGAACTAGAATCATTTTTTTTTTTTTGCAAATCAGAAAAAAACGAAGAGGCGAATCCGAGAACCAACAAATTAAATTGTTGTGGCCTTAGCCTTAGTTATATTCTATTAACTAAAGGTCCCAATTGGATGATGTTCAATGGACCCTTTCTTAATTGCTAATTGACTACCTCCATTTGATATGTATTCCTGAAAACATAATTACCACGATAATCATTACAGTAACTGTTATCTAGTATTAGACCAATAGTTGTGTTATTATAGCAATGACTTACCATGCTGAAACCAACAATGCCAAAAGCATCATCGTTGGCCAAGATGGTGATCGTTCCTCTGTTCTGGTTGCCAATGGTTACTTCGCTTGACGAACCAACCAGTGACAGGGTGAAGGTGAACACTTCGTCTGCTTCTGGTATATCATCGTCATTGATGGCAAAGGTTGCAAACCGTGTTACTGGACCCCCATCAGGGAATTGTATGATTTGTGCTGAACCAAGAAAATCTTCTGACCCACCAACAATCTGTAGTCAACGGGAGATGAAAACTGTATTATTATAATCATTATCTAATACTGCTATATCATCCTTTAAGTGCAATTAATGTGACAGCAAGAGAAGACTTGCCCAGTTATGTGGTTACAGTCAACCTGTCTATAGTGTCTGCCAGCACTCAGGGGAACTAAAACAAACAGTTGGACAGGTGCCCACCATAGACAGTGTTCTCATTGCTTGGATCAATGGGGAAAAAAAAATCTGTGGGATACACAGCACCAGCAAAAAAATATTAACATGTACAGGTTTGACTTGCAGAATCATAGTAAGATACTTGTCATAAGTAACGTACTAAGTAATGTCTACTATTATCATCCAGAAGGTACATGCAGATATTCATGATGTGACAATCAGATACTGACCTCTATTGATACACTGGCCTCTTGCGTAGTGCTTCCTACTTTCTCCACATAAACCTGTACAACTGCCCCAGGTTCCTCAGGTGTGGTGATTTCTGTGTTTTGAAGGCTGATAATAGACTGGCCTTGTACTCCACAGGAACATAGGCAAGAGAGAACACACAGTATCCAGACATACGGCTGCATGGCTGCTACCTGTTGAAGCATGAACATGGGCAAACAATTAGGCAATCAAATTCCTTTTTTGTACAGAATGACAATGACAACATTTAATCAGTGGATGATCACTGTAGAGCATTTAAAGTTAAAGTAGGTTTATATTAATACAATGTTTAAATCCAGTGTCATTTGTAGGAAAATTAAGTGGAACATCACATGACACTGATTAAACTACATTATATTATTCAAGTTCTTTTGTACCTATTCTATTTTTCAAATTACTTTGCCCATATTTGACCATCTACAAATTCAATCAATTACTCTGTAACACAATTATCACTTTGCAGATATAGGGAAACATCATTATCCAATGCTCTCGGGCTTTATTCAAATTGACAAATAACCTTCAAACATATGTCATGGATCAATGTGAAACACTTAGTCAGCTGTGACAGACCTCAGCTACAATGTAGCTGGGACCGGACTCAGCTGACTCAATATTCTATTGTCAATATGTCCATTTTTTAATGACTTATTTTGTCTGGCCCAGTGCTCTAGGTACAGCCAGTACCTGTTGTTTATTGCCTGGGCCAGAGCCAGACTGTAAAACCATGTTGATTCATAATTCGTATGCCTGCATACCAACGCTATGACTGTTGAAATCAATACGCTCAGACACATACTTTCCACATTGTAATGGGAAAGGTGAAACCTTCACCAAGCAACTGAACAATGGTCCAAGCTGTACCTTTGGAACAAGGGATCAAGCAAGCTTCCCATCCATGTGCAGTCTAGCACAGCGTGAAATGACCTCCCAAAAATAAAACTGTTTGTTTTGTTTTCCCACCCTCTGAACGAGCTATTGATTGACATGAATTTCGCTTAACAGAACATGAATGCAAAGTTTACTCACTCATAGATCTAATGTTCTACTGTATGTTTATGCTGTTTTCATGCAGAAAGGTGAATGTGACTGCTGAAATGTGGTTGAGAAAGGGATCACCTTTTTGCTTAAAAAGAAATAAGCTCTGGTGACCTTAATTCTTGCCACCTGTTGGATTTAATCAATTATATGATTCATTAATCTCAACTTCCTTGTGTACCAGGTATTTTGATCCCATACAGAATTCTTCAAATGTGAGTGTTGTTACTATTTAGTGCTACATGTTATTGACTAAAATATAAGAAATATTTCCACTTTCAAGCACAACACATAATATTTGTAGGGCTGGTATAATGTGATTTTTTTTCTGATGTCAGATCAGTTCTCAGTACTCGGTTTCTTGTGTACCATAAAGCCCCCAAAAAGCAAAGACTTGTAGAGCCTACTAAGGTGGCTAGGATATGACCATGAAACAGCTGACAGTGCACCAGGTGTTTACGATATGCTACTTTTCCATCTCCTTCAAAATTGTAAATAAGCAAAAAAATTACTTCTTATTTGGTGAAAGTGCCTGCATTTCTCAAAAACACTTTTTGTGAGGCCAAATTTTTGAGAGGGAAGTGCTGCAGGTTGACAACACAATGCCACCTTACCTTTAGAAACCTGACTAAGTGGACTTTGTTGACCTAGCGCTGTACCCTTGGGTGTTGTTATTGCAGACAAGTGAGAGGTTAACTCTGGTAGGCACTTACTCAGAGCTTTAAACATGACTAAGAACATTTGTGCAAACATCTTTTTACGTGAAATAAGGTGAGGTACTCGAAGCCCTCTGAATGATTCTCCTGATAACATTCTGTATATACTAAAACCTTTATTGTCAATGTCGTAGCTAACATGGCCTCCCAGGTGTAGCCAGTATACATGTAGGTCAGACAATTGAGACGCAAACAGGTGTTCTTACTATGTATCAGCTAGATGGTGGACCATGGAAGGATATTTTTGACTTGCAGAACAACCAATTTCTCCATCAACAAATGTGATGTAACATTAACATGGCTGCTAATCCATAACATTACGTGTATTAACAATCGTTAGTCTGCAAATATGCCTTTCCACTGTTTGCTTTCTTGAGTAATATCTAACGGAATGAGGAAACAAACTATGAGACAGAATGTTTGAACAACAAAAATGCTGTAAATTTTGTTACCTGTGTGCACAGCCAAAAAAATAAATAGCAATGAATGCATTGATGAAGCATGAAATGTCTAACAAAATTGGCAATGTCTAATATTGATATTCAATTTTTTGTTTCAGGGTTTAAATATTAACACATTAAAGTACTTCTTGGTTTAATTTTTAACTATACCAGGTTATGAATGGTACAGAAAAAAAAACAGGTGTTTAATACACCACTAGAACAAGTCCCCAGGGACAGACACCCACATGCAGGTTACCTTTTGGCACCTGCCATTATACACAAAAAAATCCCCCCATGGGAAACTAAAAAACCTTCTTGTTGAGTCATTTTAGTGTAGAACAATTGTGTTTGCACTAGTGCACTGGGACCACACCTGTGATGACTCACCTGTCAGAGCTACAACATTAACATTAATGGAGGGAGGGGGCTAACACAGGCATAGTTTTGGTACAGGATTGGGTATTCCATTTCTTTCAATATAACTTATAACAAGAAGCCATAGGCGACAATTCTCCGTGAAGTATTATATATTGCAACAAAAAGAAGTAGCCATTGGCGACAATTCTCTGTGAAGTGTGATAAATCGAACAAAGAAAAATTGTTTAAACGCGCGTCGGCTCAGTCATCTTAAGACGCAACAACCAATCAGAGATGCGAGATGCCTACACGTGACGCGGGAAGGGCGCGCGATGCCCGAAATATTTTTGCGTCAATATTCAGCGCCGTGATTCAAGAGATTAATACCCGGAAACAATTTTTTCTTGTTTTGAACGCATTAACATGCATTTACGCTAATCTAGTATGATTCAGGGTTACTTTTTTTTTAACCTGCCATGGCCAGATTATCTAAAGATGTGTGTATTGTGTGTACAATCTATAGAAAGAGAAATGTACATCAGGTCCGATCATCCGATTTTCACGTTTCGGTTTTTTGGACTCGGTTCATGAACGTATTTTGGTTTGGCTCCTGGAATGTGCAAAAAAATGACTCCCGGGACTGTCTACAGGGAACACTCGCACACTCGCGGTGTATCAGGAC